TCTTTAGAACACTTGATACTCCATATGCAACTCCTTTGTACCATATATAAATATCCTTGGAACTCTTGATACTCATAAGCATAAGGGAAATTGGGTGGAATAACCCAAAAAAAAATTATAACTAAGAACATAACCACTTAATCTAAATCTAGTGTATATAATTATATTACATACCCCTATTTTAGTTAGTTATCTAATTATTAATTTTTTTTTGTTATTGAGCAAATTAACCCTAAGCATAATACATCATTCGGCTTCAGTGTCCAAAAATATCTCGTGTTTGTAAGTTTGGATGCACACACGTGTGGTTGAAATGTGTGAGAGAGTTACTATACAAAAGACACTGCTTTTGTTTGTAGCTATCTCTTTCTCTTCTCCACATATCCAAGACTTTGGGGATAAAGCTGGGATCATTGGCTGGTATTTGGTAGTAGAAGCAATCACCCATTTGCTTTATCCGAGGTCGATAATCTTCTCCGGGCTCTCCTTCCGACACGTATGTCAGATTCTAACAGTATATTCCTCGTAGATATTTACCTATATATAGTCTAAAGGTGCAGTTACTTGAGGCTTTGTCTTGGCCTCCTCGTCCTCTTCAGCAAGAACTCATCTCTCTTGCACTCAGTAAAGCAACCATGTCTGCTTTTGTCGGCAAGTACACAGGTACGTACACTCAACATCTACTCTTCTCGTTTCATAAATCCTCGTGTTCCAGTCTGTCTTATGTGCTTTCTGAGTTCAGAGGAGCTGATCAAGACGGCTAAGTACATTGCAACACCGGGAAAGGGCATTTTGGCGGCAGACGAGAGCACTGGAACCATTGGGAAACGATTCTCGAGCATCAATGTTGAGAACATTGAGTCCAACCGCCAAGCTCTACGTGAGCTCCTCTTCACTTCCCCTGGCGCTCTCCCTTGCCTCTCCGGCGTTATCCTCTTCGAGGAAACCCTCTACCAGAAAACCTCTGATGGCAAACCCTTTGTCGATTTCCTCCTGGTCCGTCCCTGAAACATTGGGTTAAAGAGTTGAAGCTCTTGACATGACTCAAATGGAACTTACGGTTTCAGTTCGAACTTTTGTGTATCAGGAGAACGGAGTTATCCCTGGAATCAAAGTGGATAAGGGCGTGGTTGACCTAGCAGGGACCAATGGCGAGACCACTACTCAGGGTCTAGACTCGCTTGGTTCACGTTGCCAGGAGTATTACAAAGCAGGAGCCCGGTTTGCAAAATGGCGTGCAGTCCTCAAGATTGGGGCCACCGAGCCAAGCGAGCTGTCTATTCAAGAGAACGCCAAGGGACTAGCCCGCTATGCCATCATTTGCCAGGAGAATGGACTGGTCCCTATCGTGGAGCCAGAGGTGCTGACGGACGGGAGCCACGACATCAAGAAATGTGCTGCAGTGACGGAGGCGGTTCTTGCTGCGGTGTACAAGGCCTTGAACGACCACCACGTCCTCCTCGAAGGCACTCTGCTTAAACCTAATATGGTTACTCCCGGCTCCGACAGCGCTAAGGTAACGTTTGATTTGGGGTCAGTTTTTTTCTGTTATATTGAAACTGAAACCAAATAAAATTATTTATAGCTTGGTTTGGTTAACATCGGTTTGATGCAATTTTACTTTGGTTCGATTTGGTCTTCAATTTAAAATACAAGCTTGAATTAAAAAAATACTCCATCCGTTTCAGAATATAAGTTATTTTGGAAGTTTTTTTATTTTTCAAAATACAAATTGTTTTGATAATCCTAAGTATTTTTTTACTTTATTGACTATTGTGTGACCAATAGTATTTTACTGTCATTTTTTTCATTGGTTCAATTATATTTATTATATATAAGATGATATTTTTTTAAAAAATTAGTTTTTAATATTCGCATTTTTAGCTAAAACAACTTACATTTTGAAACGGAGGGATTATAAAGCTTTATTGAATTTTGGTTTATTATATGTAGATGGTCTTAGACCATCTTTAACGGTGAATTTATATCAGTCTCATATATTAAACAAATAATAAATACAATTAAAAGTAAGAAAGAGAAACATGATACGTCTCATTGCATAGATACATATGAAACAGTTCTTTGGTACTTCTTCCTATTTGTCTTTTTCTTATTGGTCT